AACCTAAAGGTCAGCGGTTCGAAACTACCAGCCGCTCCGCGGGAGAAAGATGAGGCTTTCTACTCCCGTAAGGATTTACATCCTCGGAAACCCTGTACAGGGTCGCTATGGGTCGGAACCGACTCGACGGCACTTAACAACAACAACAACAACGGCTCATATGAAGGCCATATTTAGGATTAAGGCAACCCATTGCCGACAGCCATCAAGTGAGCTGTGACTCATAGCAACCCTAGATAGGGTTTCTAAGATGGTAAAGCTTTACAGGAGCAGACAGACTCATCTTTTGCCAGAGGAGTGACTGGTAGGTTTGGAGCACTCACCTTATGGTTAGCAGCCTATTGCCTAACCCACAGCACCCCAGAGCTCCTTAGGATTAAGGATGCACCCCCAAATAGTTCAAGCAAAACAATATCCCTCTGCTCCAGCCCTTTTACTTACACATATTCGGATAGGACGTTCCGTTTAGATGTGACATTTCATTGTTGCCATCGAATCCGTTTTAACACATAGTGACCCTTTGTAATGAGTGGGGAACTTTTTTTCTGCCAAAATTTATAACATCAACTTAATCATTCTGCTATAGTTGGTCAAACATTTAATTAACTCATCCTAATGAGATAAAGCACTGGGCCACAAAGTCAGTTTGAATCACAAGTTTGGAGGTTCAAACTCACCAGCCATTTCCTTGGAAACCCCTATACAAGGTCCCTTGATGGCACTTCACAACAGCATGATGGCTGAAACTGCAGTTGGCTTGGCAGGGACAGACCAAGAGTTTTCTCAGGCCTTAAACAGCCCACGGGCTAGATGTCCCCCACTCCTGCCATATTGCGTTTCCTAGGTGCAGCTGGTGGGTTTGAACTGCTGATCTTGTAGGATAAGCCTAATGCTTACCATACCAATGAATGTTTATTGTTTGTCATCTAAAGGCCTAGCCCCAGGTCAGGTCAAGACATAAGGAAGTGATTATAGTTCACTAAGATTAATGCAAACCAATCACTAGGGCCAACCCAACACAAATCCACATTTCATCTCAAGGATCTAGTAGATGAGCAGAATTGTATATAGTGTATGTTTATGAGGAGCCCTGGTAGCATCGTGGTTAGGAGTTGGGCTGCTAACCGCAAGGTCAGCAGTTCTAATCTGCCAGTCATTCTGTAGGAGAAAAATGAGGCTTTTTGCTCATGTAAAGATTTACAGCCTCTGGAACCCTCTATACTGGGTCATTATGAGTCAGAACTGACTCGATGGCATTCAACAACAATACAACAATGTTTGTAATTAGACTTTTGGTAAAACAGGTGATTTATACATTTACACTTAGAATTCTAATTTCAGTTGTATTTCTGCTTTGACACTTTCTTATCACTTACAGTTTGTAAAGTACCACCTACAGTATCAGGAAAAACAACAAGACAGAACTGGAAGGACTTGAAATCTAAGCCAGTCTGAGGAAATTAGGAAGTCAGTTGAGATTCTA